AGGGAAAGAAAGAATCGATTGTAGCCAAGCGGCTCATGACAAGAGCTGGGTGTCTTCAGCGGGCTGCGGTGCACACCATGCTGTAGGGTCTGTGTTGGGACCTTCAAGAGCACCAGCAAGCCTCCTGAGCACATGTTTGCATTGTGTGTCCCCTCTGCTCCATGAGGTATTTGCTCTGCCCCTGTGTATGATCAGGAGAGTGCAGAGAAATCAATGTGGTGCCACTTCTTGTGGCTTTGAGCTCTTGTCGTGTTTCAGCAGAAATGGTATTAGCAAGAAAGGGCGGTGACACAAAGGAAGTCTTGAAGGTCACAGAGATGAAGGTCTATATTTAAAGACCTAGGTGATCTTTTATGGTTTCTAAAGGGTTACATGGAGAAAAGAAAGGCTATTGTGATGTGCTAACCCATCCTGCTGGTGGCTTTTTCGTGCAATGGCTACAGGCTGCTGGGACTCTGCCAATAATTAGTATGAGCGCTGTACCTGAATGTGTGACTGACCTTCCAGTAGACAGTAAGTACAAATACCAAGCTCATTCAAGGCCAGCACTCACAAAGAATGCAAAATATACATGGGATAAAAAATGGGGTAAGAAGTTGTTGATTTATAAACATATGGGGTAAATACAAGCAAAAGTTGGGCACATAAAAGTGTGGCTTGTCTAATGTCTGTCCTCTGACACCACATCCTGGTTGGGATTTCTCCCAGGACAGGCTGATAAGCAACATAATTTTAATAATATTATCCAGCTAATTTTACCTATAGAACTCAAAGCAATTTGCAAAGGAGATGAGCATATTTATCCCCATTTTGCAGCTGGAGAGACTGCACCAGAGGAAGATATGATTTTTTCCCCCCCAAAGACCACTACCATAGTTAGGTATGTCCAGTGACAATCCTAATTACGGGTTGGCAAAGTCAGTCTCCCTCTCACACTTCAGCTTCATTCATAGTTTTCCCTTTAAAAACAAAAAAAAAATAAATATTTCAGTAGAACAAATTGAGACAAGTCTCATAATAGCAGGGGTGAGGGGCAAGTTCATGTCCCTGTAATCAGGGAGGGGATTTGAACCTGGGTCTCCTACACCCCAGGCAACTGCCCTTAGCAGTGCATCCACAGCACTACACAAACATGGTTTCCCTGTCTCCAGTTCAGGAGGTAGCCCATGCAAAGAAGCTTGGTGCAATTGCAAACTCCATTGCCTGGCTGGGTAAGAAGGGACTGTATAAAATACCTTTTGTGTAATATAATTCTACAGTTTACCATAACAAACTCATTGCATTGATTTCTAAGCTCCATTCCCCCTCCCATTTTCTGACTCCTGGGATGGCAGTGGGGAGGGAATTAACTATATCATATGCCCAGATATAAGCTATTTTGAATCAAGGAGGAAAGAAAATTTCAGGAGTATCTACTTATTCAGTAAATAGATGAACCCCAAAATGATCTGTAGTACTAAATAAGTAGCCTAATGTTAAAAGGAACTATGAAGAGGACCTCACAATTTAAAACTGGGTTGCATTCAAAGTATTAATAATTTCTCAGGAAACAAATATATTTCCTGACATTTATTTTAGAGAGACATACAGCAATGGAAAAACTATTTTACTAGCAAAGTTTAGGGCAGGTTGGCACTTTGAAAAAAAAAATAAAGCCAATCTTTTTTTTTTTTGGCAGTCACTTGTCTATTCAGTTGTAACTTGAAGATAAATAGCACTTACCCCTCAGAGAGAAGGACTTTTTTTTAGTAACTAATTAAACTTCCAGGTTCTTGGTGTAAATCCTCAGCTTCTGAAATAAAACTGCATACTTTTTACAGAATATCAGGACCTTGGTCTGACTGGTTGCTCCATGACAACAAGGTTTAGCTGGTGAGAGTAGAAGAAAGTGGTTTCTCTATGGAAAGCTTCTGAGGATCTGTCCCTCAAGGGATTAAAGGTGACTCCTTGCAAAACTTACGCATTTTTAAATTTAAAATATTTTCCATTCAAGACTGGCTGCTGTGCTACATGGCTTGCAGACTGTCCTATCACCATTTTCTTTTGTTAGTAATAAGCCAAGTGTTGTGACTTCCTCACCTTCCCATTGAGAAACCATCTTCTTCCAGTATCACCAGCTAAACCTTATTGTCATGGAGCAACCAGCCGGACTAAGGTCCCAATATTCTGGATAGTAAGTAGTTGTATTGAAACAATCAATAATGTGCCTATGCCAGTGACAGGGAATTAGCTCCAAGAAACAAAATTACAATCACACTTTTAAACTCATTTCTAACTTGTTAGTATATTTAGCACAATATTATTATTAAGCTTGCCTAAATTAAGCTCAAGCTTGTTTCGTAGCAATAACACCTGGTTCTAGATCCCCAGCCTTCTTTTAAATCTCCCAGTTGCCAGTGGTTATCTTGACCGTCTCTGACTTGCTCATATACTGTATATCCTACTTTCTTCTTCCTGTACCCATTATCGCCCATTGTTTGCACTGGTAATAATCAAACACAAAGTTTCCCAGCTGCATTGAGGTCCCTGAAGACGAGGAGCTGCAATGTGAAAGGGACACTTTCTACTCTTGTTAACACAAAAGAATCTCCACTGAAGAGTTGGTCCTGTACCTTAATTATACAAGATAATGTATTGCTCTCTTCTAACCCTAGGAGTCTGAATTTGCTGTCGTCAAAGAACATTAACCTTTAATAAAAGGTTGGTGTATTCAAGACAGTCATATACCATAAATATCTGGATTAGGAATTTTTCTAACTGTTGTGCACAAACCATGCAAGCTGGAGTTAACTGTGGTGAACCAGATCAGGTCTGCTTAGTGCACCAGTTGCAGTAGGCAGGTCTGCAGGAAGGAGCTGAAAATGAGAGATCGTCCATTAATTAGAAGCTGGCTAGCAGGTTGCATGGTCCAATTGCTCTCACCTGTGGAGACAAGCCAGGCAACAGTCAGGTGCTAAGTAGGGCATCAAGGAAGAACCTCCCTAAAAAGAAATCAGGCCTGATAGTGGACCATTTGATTTTTTCTGGGATTTGGATGTTGATTGCTAGATCGAGCTGTGGCAGAGGATGCCTTTGTCAGGAGGAATTTTGAAGTCTGATTAATTAATTATTAAGATGGGCTGAGCACTGAGCCCAGGGTGAAGGCTTCTTTATTCTGTGATTGTGTGGCTTTAGTCTCTGCCACTCTAGTAGGAAGAGAGGAATTGTCATAGTTACCTGGGTGGAGGGCTGAGCCATAGGCCCCAGAGCAGGTAAGAAGTGCTTCTGGGGAAACTGAGGCAACACTGTGTCCTGCCACAAGGAAGTGCCCACAGAGTATCAGTACATCACTATATATTTACTGTTCTGTATGGTAAGAATATGCAGAATCTGAAATAAGGAAGCAAGCCCTATTTGGCTGTACATTTTATGAGCACATAAGAAAAATACCATTGTTTCAGTCAAAACTCATTGGGTTGACCTCAATATGACTCCCCCAGTCTCCACTGAGACAATGCACGTCTATTAGTTTCTCACACAGCTAACTGAAGAGCTGGGTCTAATGAGAGATAACACTTAGGCAGCCATGGCGTTCAAAAAACTGAGACAGGCTTAATAATCAAAGCATTTAAAAACAAGAAGGAATATGTTTTTCATTTAGACTTTTGCCCTTAAGGCTTCAGAGTCGCATCCTCAAGGTTTCTCTCCACAGTTAAGAATAGTTTTCCTAAATTAAAGGGCTGATGCTTATGTAATAGCATAACCCAAGCAGCTAGGCCTTCAAATTGAACACCAAATATCCCAAGACTCATGATAAATTCATGAAATGGCAACACTGAGTAGGGGTAGCAATGAGCTAAGGGAGCTGGGGAGGAGGATAGCCAATGTTAACAGTGATAAAGTCCGCATGATCCCCAAGGTGATTTTTATTTATTTTTTTAAATCAACTGAAGTTAACAATAAAATGTTTGCCCTCTGCTCTTGCATAATTACTGTTCAGGCAAAAGAAATTAAAAAAAAAATAAAATAAAATACATCTTCCATTCCCTCCATGGGCTCTATCATTGAATCAACAGAGGACCCTGGAAGTGATATCTATCACAGTCAGTTAAATTCCTCCCAACCACCTGCAAGCAGAGAATGCTGTATCCTAGTGCCTTTTTTCCTTGCCATAGGATGCTCATACTATAATCTCAGAAAGAACATTCTGTGAGTATCAGGAAATTACAATTCTCTAATTTAAACCTGAGCTTCCATAATGCTTAATGGAAGTCAGTCAGGCAATACAGCATTGATTAGGTCTTCCTGTGCTACTTTTCTTCAGTAGACAACAAAGCATTTTATAAAGGAAGTCAGTGTTATTACACCCATTTTGCAGATGGAGAAATGGATCTACTGAGAAGTGAAGTGACTTGTCTTAGATCAGGTCAGCGACAGAGCCAGAATAGAAGCCAAGTTCCTTGGCTCCCCATTTGGCCCATACACCACACTGTCTCAAGGGACTTTTCACTGTTTAAAATACTTTATTTTTGTCTTGGACATTGCAAAGGTACTACTGAATAAACAGATTATTGCTATAAATAGTTTAGCTCCCTTTTTCAGGGCTGAATTTTGATCCAGATGCAAAGACTTTTGCTGAGGCTTGACTTTATTAACTATGCGGTAGTTAATGCCAAAGTTGGCATAAGGTTAGGTAGAATCAACTTAAAACTAAAGAATTGTGCCTTAGGCTGCAAGATCTCCAGAGCAAGCAACATATCTATGGTGTAAGGTCTTCAGCAGAGTGTTATGTACTGCAAAATAAATGCAATAAAAATAGCAGCAAGTACTCCAAAGGGGTAATAGCTTCTTTTGCCAAACTCTTGATCAGTTGGTTCTAGATTTAGAAGACTATTCAATTTTTTTTAAGTTAAATCCATTTAGTTCTGGACTGCCCCACCCTACCCTACCCAATTTGTATCACACTACTAGGGAAGAGACAGGTCTTGATACATACCAGAAAGTGCCCATTGCAATGCAGAGAGGAGGTGAAGGAAAACAATTCCTTGATATAACAAGTAAGTAAGCTTCATTAGAATTCTTTTGCATTTGCACCCTGTAAATGGGAACAGATTTGGCTTCCTAGAATAGATACAGGTTAGACTACAGGAGTGAAGATAACTAACTGGGCAAGTCTTTGTACAGGTTGTTGGGTCCAAGTATTATCTTCCAAGATGCTGCTTACTGGAACCATTTCTTGGCTGCAAGGCTGCTGGTGGTGGTGGTGGTAATCTCTCTCCAAGTGTTCCCAGTTTACCCCAGACCATTATTCTTGGGGGGGAAAAAAAAAAAAATCATTGTCATGTTTCTAGAGTCTCCTTTAACTCTACAGGCTGCTGCCTCTTTATTGTGTGTTCCTTTCATCCACCAGGTTTTCCATAGGGTCCTTATCTGCTAATCCCCCATGGACAATTCATTTATTCTAACTCTTCCACCTTCTAATTTTCTGATATTTTTCCAAACCCTCATGAATCCCTACTGACACACTGCCCCTGCTTGAATTAACAAGAAGCCCTGCAGCTGGTTTTAAAAGAGTTAGAACGTGTGGCAAATTATCCATCATTGGGGAGCAGATTACGCAACCCTTTGCACTTCACAATTCATAATGGGTTCTTTACTGCACTGTCCCTTTACTGGCAAGAGGGCTACTTTAAGTGGACAGTACTAGTCAACATGTGTAAGGGCAGAATCTGACCCCCTCCAAAACCTTGACAAGAAATGAAACTATGTCTGGCTGTATAGCTAATGATGTACATAAAACTCTTACTGTAATATCTGTACGATTAACATGGAATAGTTTTGTCCCCAGAGCTCAGGAGATATAGCAACATGATGCCTTTAACAGTGCCCCCGTTACCTTCACTCTGTTCTCACCCTTTCTTTTACTCTGACCTTCTTTACAGTCTGACTTCCAGAATTGTTGATCTCCCTCCTTACATTTCCTTTTGCTTCCTGCACTACACTGCTTCCACAACAGCTATATGCCTTGAGCTTTGGAAGAGGCCAGTCAATCAGCACCTTTTTTCCATGTCCTGGGAACCAGGATGTTCAACTTTTTGGAGGGACTGTCTCAGCATATAGATGGGCAGCTGAGCAGCAGTTTACTGGTTCCAAGATGAAGGAAGGAAGAACTTGGAATCGTGTACAACAATGCTGGGCACAAATTTGAGTCCTCTCCTCTAGATCCCACCTTCTCTTTCCATCCTCTACAGAAGAGAATTGGAGCATTCAACAAGCTCCCATCTGAGAGCTGTGGAGGTAAGATGGTCTCCCTCATTCCCATTTTCACCCACAAGTGAGATTCTACTCAGAGCATCACCAAATAGCATTTAAGGATTAAGCTAGGCTATCCTAAAGAAAAGAAAAAAAAACAGCTTAAAGTGCCTTGGTTACTCACCACTTGTTTTGTAAACATTAACCAAAATGCCCCTTGTAGTAGCTCCTTTACAGGTACATTTTCAATGGTCTCCAATTTACTAGCACAGATACTGCAGCGGTCATGATCTGTAGATGGTTCCTTGAGAGTTTGTTCTGCTCTCTCCTAAGGGATAAAAAAAAATATCTTGGACCTCCTTTCCCTTTGCAAATGTCTTCGTCTAGAGACTACTTTACTCCAGCCAGCTGGATCACTGGCATCTGATATGCATTGCCTGTAAGTCTTAAAAGAACAACAGCTCATATACCATGAACAAAACAGCAATTACAAGTTTAAGAGAAATATGACACAGTGAACTCTCAACAGCTTGCCACAAATTGTTGAGCAGTTTTATTCCTCCTAAACAATTTCCACTGGCTATTTTTTCCACTTCATTTCCCTACCATGCCAGCAGGTAGTGTGATGACTTGGTGTGTCCCATCATGAATGTTTTAGGGAATCACTCATGTAGGCCTTTAGGCTAAATTCTCAGTGAAGTTCATTTAAGAGACAAAATACAAGGAATTGGACTGAAATTGATGTGGGGCAGCACTGCTATCATTGTCTAAAGATCTTTATTTAAGGATGCCATTCTTATTTAAGAGGCTTCTACCAAGATTACTTAACAATCAGTTCCCATTTTCTGCCTGCTTTAAGTGTCAGACATCAAGGAACAAGGAAAATATTTCTCCCTCAAAGCAAGGCCTTTCACAATACAACTGGGCTTTGCACAGTTCAGTCCAGGGCTTTAGGTATTTTATGTCCAGACCTGAATTAGCTTGACACAAGAACTAACCAATAAGAATTTTCCATATAAGCAGAGGCATCCTAAAGTTTAAATAGCAGAGGATATCCATTTTGAACCTTAAAAAAAATTCTTGTGATTAGAGGTTGTTTTCAAATAGTCATCTTCAAGAAACAAATTATTCTGTAATAATGGAGACTGTTACTAATAAACAGGAAATGGCCTCAGGAAATGAGCATGGTTCAAAATAGAAAAAAAAAGTTATTGTCAGGGGAATATAAGAAGCCTTATAAAAGGTGGAGGCAAAACTACAATGCACCTTGCTTCCTCATATACACAAAGAACATACACTTTGATGGGGGATGAAGGGCATTTAAGAGTCTTAAAGCCAATGGGCTAAAGAAGGGGTGTCAAACTCATCAGGCCTCATGGGCCAGAGGAATGGTACAGGGCTGGTCTGCAAGTCAGACTGGGCCCTTGGACTGGCCACATGCATGCACCTTTCTTCCCCCCCCCCGGCCCTGCATGGAGGGTCAGTCCAGAGTACATAGCATGAGACAGAGCAGTACATAGCAGAGACCCACAGGCATCACCAGAGACTAGATAATAGAGATCCACAAGTTATACCTTTGACACCCCTGGCTTAGGACAATCCCTTTGTACTATGCATGCTCCCTACCAAATATATTAGTCTACTTATTATACTTAGTCTTAGAAACTAAAGCCAGGATCTGGAGCATTAAAAGGGCAGGAGACAGCAGAGGGATCCTGCAATAGCTTTCAGTTAGTTATTAAAAATAACTGTAATAAAGCAGATTGGGAAGAAGCTAACTTACTGTTATAATTATTATCACAGCCCCAGGAAGCTAAAAAATACAGTTCTTTTGTATAGCCCCCTAAACAACCTCCCTGTAGTAAGATAAGATGGGAAATGCAGGCTACCATGATGGCTGCATATATACATATGGATAAACTGGCATGTTGGGAAATGGGGGTGGTGATTTCACTATAAAGCAGCTCCCTACCAGCTGTGTAGTAAATGGTTGGGATGGGGTTGTTTGTAGTAAGGGAATTTTTTTTGCTTTAACTTTTTATAATAAAGGATTAAAATAGTTTTTAATAAAAGGCTGTATGTTTCTATGAGTTGGGGCTCTGGTGTGTGTGTGTGTGTGTGTGTAAATAAAAGGAAATAACACAATAAGAGTAACACAATATCTTTTAGTTTACTCGGTGTTTCAGAGGTAGTGCTTTTCTTGAGAAGACAGGGAAAACAGGGGCCTTGAGACCAAGTGGCTTGGTATTACGTAGCTTTTTACCACTTTTTCTTGCATCTTATTTTTCTTTGTGCCTTTCTTCTATATTTTCAACATCAGCAGGTAGCTGTTTGACTGCTATGAGCTACTAGCCGTGTCAAGGTCATCAGCTGAAGATTTCATTTCATTTTCTAAGCAGGTCACTTGTAAGATTTTTTTCATGTGGTCAGCATTTCCTTCATTCTGGTGTTTGTCTGAAGTGGAGCTCATTGGGAGAAAGCAGTTGAGTTTTTTTTGTTTTGTTTTTGTTTTTTAGTGTTTTGGGGCACTAGTCTGCTCAAACGCTTTAACAATTTGTACTAAGTAGTGGTTAAAGGTGAGCAAATTGACACCTGTTTAGACTTTTTTCTAAAAGTTTTTTGCTAAAACCACTGACAAGTGGCTATTAAGAAAAGTAGTCCCTAAGTGAGAGGAAAATGACTGTCCTGGATTAGAAAGTGGCTAAGAGAAGAAAGTGAAAAATAAAGGCTTTATTTTCAACAAGGAAAAAGTTCTAGCAGTGCAGTTCCTCAAGGACTGCTGTGTACAATGCATGCTCTATCAGTGACCAAGAAATGAGACCAGTAACACTTTTAGATTAGCAAAAAATGGGAAGGGGAAAAATCAGGCAGACCTCATAAGATGAAGTAAATGGGCAGATGAAATTAATTACTGATGGACAAAGAAATCCACATTAGAAAAATAACTTGAGTTACTCATGCATGTTCACTATTTGAAGTTAAGATAACCACACACACAAAAATGCATTTAGCCTTCATTTTGGACTAATCTGTGGAAATGTCTAAATACACAGACGCAGTCAAAATAAGGAAACCAAATGGTGGGCTGTATGAAAAAGAGAAAGTGAGATTTCATCTTCTGAATGAATGGTATGCCCAAAGCGGTATACTGTGTTTACTAATGGTCTACCCATCTCAGAAATGGTAGAGCAAAAATAGAAGGAGCATGGAGAGTGGCAGTGATGATTTGAGGCACAGCCAGACAAGGAAGATTGAGGGCTGCCCCTGTTTTCAGTTCCTTTTAATCAGCTCCTCTGTTAGAGGATTTACAATATAGAGAAGTTATTTTGGCCTTACTGGTAGTGCAGCCTGGCTATGTGAGGTGTAGGTTCCTGCTGGTGGTATTTGGAAAATTAGTCCCTTTTGGTGCTTCAAGATAGGTCTCCCCTACCTAGTATAAGCATTAGGTAGAGAATCTCCTAGGTAATACAGAAGGGACCTACCCTAGCTTGAAGCAAGTATCTCCTGGGTGATGGCAATATTACAGACAAGGAAAAGGGCTCTAGGTCTTTAGACTTCAAGCTTGCGTTACAACACAGATGGTAGTGAAAGACAAAGAAGCAGTGATGATGGAGCTCTCACTCAAAGCTCGGCCCTACCTGCTCCACAGCTTCCCTGCTGTTACTGCAGTGGCTGGAAAGGGGTGTATGTTGAGACTATTAGTTAGTCCTAGGCTCAGTGAGGGATATATCCCCTTACAGCAACCACCTGACTTGCAGTGGGTACAATCTCAGACTCAGAGTTAAATTGTTAACAATGTCAACTTGTTAATATTTTTGGCCAGGAGTGTGAAACTATTTTTGCCCTCCCCGAGTGCCCCCAAACAATAACTGATCCTTGTCCTGTACATGGGGGACTGGCCTCAGGGAGCTGAAGAAGACTAGTGTGGTAGTGGTATAATGGACTGATATTATTACTATGGGTGGTAGAAGCAGGGACTTAGTTCTCCCGTTTCACTGCAGAAGGGTTTTGTATCATCCCTCACGGGGACATCAGGAACTAAGGATTGTGAATACTATAATCTTAAAGGCCATGATCTCTTCTCTAATGGAGGTGATGCAGGGAAGTTTGGCCCTGCTGTTGTCCACACTATGGCCATTCTACAAAGAGAAGCCTTATGTCTCCCAAACTGTCAAGCTTGCATATTTTATAAGGAGCTAATTCACTTTCAGAATGTACCATTTCAAAAAATAACTGCAGGAAAAGCCACTGGTAGGCAGCCACAGGAAGAAAATATCAGGGAAATTAAAGTGGTTATAAGGTAATAGTCTTCTCCCAGTATGGAAATGTAGTTATACATCAGAAAAACATTTGTAAGTCGCATACAAAAAAAATGAAAAATGCTCTTAAGAGTATAACATCAAGACCTGAAAAGTTGAGGAAATGGCACAACTAAAGCAGCCCGTTCACCCTTAATTTTGCCCTTTTATGCATATGCCTGTTGAGGCAGCTGTTAATTATATGATCAGATGTTATTTTTGCCACAGGGTTTTTGCATAATCCAATTGAGAGTAGAAAACAGGCAGTTTAAATGAGAAGTGTTAGGCAGCCTTAATAATAAGAGTTGCTGCCAGTATTATACGTATTAAAGTTAATTCTTGTTTTGAAGACATTTAGTTATTTGATTTTAGATGAAATCTGAATTTTAAAAAATGCAGGAATCAATACAAAAAAATATCACTTTTTTTTCCCACAAATTAAGATTTTTGCCCAAAAGTTGTTTGGCACTTTTTAAAACTCTAATTGCTCAGCTATGAAAATGTAATTGTTTGTGTATGAGTTTAATGTACTCTTTCAGAGTGAGGTTTGCCACATACGTAAAGATGTCCCAAGCTACCTGGGAGCTATCCTGGCTTTTTTTTTTTTTTAAGTAAAAATTCCATTAAGTTGTTTCATAAATTCTGTGGCTTCTTTAGAACTCTATCTCATCCCTGCTCAGGTGATATTACTGCTCTTTAAACTGATGTATGTTAGAAAAGGTCATTCTTTGCACCTCTAAATTATAATTATTCCTAATCCACCCTAGAATTACTTACCCTAACCATTCAGCACTAACAGGAGACATGCAGGTCCATGACACAGTAGGTCCCAGCATAATTTGTTATCTAAAACCCTGATCCTGCATGGATCACATACCCAGTGGAGCTTCATTCTCCGAAAAACGATAGTATCAGGGGACTTCACGTAGGTGTAGCATTCTGCAAACAACCTACCAGTTTCAGCATCTGGGAATTAAATTTAAGCCTGGGTACTGAATGACAACTACTTTTTATTGTATAAAGGTAAAACTCCTGTATACACTTGCAGGTTCCATAAATTCTTTTTGTGTTAATATTCCTTGTATACACCTATTACAAACATTAGGCTTCACAAAGTCTTAACACTTGCCAGAGAATAAAGTTTATGCCTGCAATCTTTCAGCAAAGCATAAAAGTGTCTTACATTTTAAAGATCTTTGAATTGTTGTCCATTTTCATGTTATTGGCTTACACTGTGGAATAGTGTATAATAAATGAAAGATGCTAACTTCATGGATAAGAGCAAGGTACAGTAACAAATAAATCAGCCTTGTTGATGGCCATAAGGCTTCTTCTGTGTACAAAATGTAAAGCAGAGTATTACAACGAGGGAGAAAGAGAGATTATTCATTCAGTTTTGCATACTAATAAGGGTGTGTTTCAATACTAACAAAAACTAGATATCAAAAGTGTTTAATTCATGCCAAAGGAAGAGGACAAATGACAAAAAAGAGGATGGTTGCACTGGGATAGCTATAATTTTGGAAGAATACAGATGAAATTGAATGGAATAAAGTAATGGAGAGAAATGATGCAGAGAAGAAATGTAGTGACTTCAGAGCCAAATTAGAGTAGGCTCAAATATTATGTCTGTCATTAAGCACTTCATACACTAACAGCATAAAGAAGAAAATATGGCTGTACAAAGAAATGCAAAAAGTAATCAAGGATAAGAAAAAGGTAGATAACAGAGAAGGACTATAAAGATTACAGAATTAATTTATGAGACTCTAAGGAAATTACAAGTAAAGCAAAGCTACAGAATGAAACAAGATTTCACCAGAAGATGAACAGTAAGAACTATTTCAAGTACAAAAAGAATAAGAGGTCACTGAAGGAGACACTGAGATATCTAGGGCCAGGGTAATAATTTATTGACAATAGGTTCAGACTCTGCTAAGGAAAGAATTAAATTAATTCTCTGCTTCATTGTTCACAAAAGAGGATACAGGACAGAGGCCAAAAACAGATGTACATTTTCCAAAAGAGAGAAAAAAAATTGCAGGAAATTATGATTCTGCAACATCTGATCAAGAAATAAAAGCCACTTCAGGAGTGACAAAATGCCAGGATTCAGCAATATCCATTCCAATGTTTGGAAGGAATCTGCCAAAGAAATAAGAAATTGCCTGAACCAATGTGATATCTGAGCTTTGCCAACTGTAGTTAGAACCCTTGGGTAATAAGATAATGGAATGAGATAGTAGTTGGTCCTGATCCTGGTCCTGAAGCCATTGTGAGAACTTGAAGAGGTCAATGTGTAAGCTTTAAGGCAGAAAGAGAAGTTTGAAGCAAAGACTGAGAGCAGAGGAATGGACTTAAGATGCAGGTAGAAGTGTCGGAAGAAATGGAGTTTTGGCTGCAATGAAATAAGTAGTCTGACTCTTTGAATAAATGGATAGTATTGGCCCCCACGACCACCTAGAGACTGTAAAGACCATTCCTACCATTTTTTTAATCAGAAATCTACTGGCTAAGGCACTAGAT